TGCCACAGCATGACAAACCCCAGGGGGTCAAGAGGCAAGGAATTAACGCAAATTCTCTCCGATGTATAGTAAAGCTAGTGTTAATCAAACACTGGAGATTTTATTAAACATCTTTGACAAAAACAGACTCATTTTATTTTGAAAAAGAGTGTAACGTATATAGTTTTTTGTTCAAGTTTCTTTTATCTCAATAGTCTTGATTAATTTTGCTAATGGAATCATAAAAACATAAATGAATTGTGATGGACAGTTAATTGCATTCAAAGCATGAAACTATTTTATTGAAGACGACGAAATCAGTTTGTTTCTATTTTGAGAATGAAACGAAACTTGCAGATCAACCTTCCTCATCTGAATTTAAATTAATTTCATCACAGCTGATACGAAAACACCCATTTCATCGAAGATCTCGTGAATGGGGGCGTTACACATGAAAGCACCGCACGTCACCAGCTTGTTCTTGGCATCGACGTGGATCTCGCCGACATTCTTATTCACGTGCTTGCATCCCATCTCCTTCACAGCATTGGCGGTCCCGGCGTACGGCCACCTAAATGTCAGACAAGGAGGGACAGTCAATGAGCACGTGATTCCTGTCACTTTCCAAATGTGTCCTACTATTGCGTGTTTTCATTAATTAATTTGACTCTTTTAAAAACTGAAAAGCATGGTAATACAATGGACAATAAAATATATTTACACATTAAGCAGACACTTTTATCCAAAGCAAAATACAATTGAGAAAATAGGGCTTACATGCTGCAAATAGGAATTTGGGGCTTACATGGTGCTCAATGGTGAAAATATAATGTATAATCAATATAATATAATATATAATATAATCAATGTAAAATATTCTGGCAGCCATAGGACATAAACCGGCGACCTTGCAATTTTGGGCAGGAAGTCCCAAACTACAGGGCCACACATCACCACGTAGAAACACATTCAAACATCCCTTAACTACTTCCTATATTATGATCCATGCGTACTCACTTTTCGCACTCCTTGTCACTACCCACAGTCACCTCGCAGCCTGGCAAGATCTTTGCCGCGAGGACCGGGGAGATGCAGCACAGTCCCAGGGGCTTCTTAGCGCTGTGGAAGCTCTTGATGGTGGTCTCCACCTCACTCTGCACCGTGCAGTCTTTGCCCTGGGTGGCCCAGCTACTCAGATTCTTAGCCACACCAAAACCCCCTGCAAAAATGAGAACAAATAAGAAAAAGCATCCTTCAGAATGATTTACGGGAACATTCGCACGCCAATCAAGATGTTTGCAGATGGTCAAGAGGCATGTTAGCATGTTAGCTAATCTGACCGGGAATGATGACAGCATCGTGATCGGCCACATTCAGAGTCTTCAGGTCGCTGATGTCACCGCGGGCAATGCGCGCGCTCTCCTCCAGCACATTACGCTTCTCCTCCGTGGGCTTGCCTTCTACATGGTTCACCACATGCATGTGGTCTATGTTGGGAGCAAACATTTGGACCTGGAACAGAAACCACATGTGTGAGCTTGTCCCAACTTTGTATTCTGTCGTTTTGGCAGCATTTTTCATAATCAGCTGTTTTATTTCTAGTTAATTCTGTAACTTAACTTTACAACCAATGACCACCTACCAAGTATTACAGGTTAAAATAATTATCAAAAAAAATGGCGTAACTAGTTTACAAGAGTTTACCATAAACTTCCTTTGCATGGTGTTTTTCTATAGAAAAAGCTCAAATGACAGCCTGCTAATAGACAGGCAGCTCATAAAATATGTATGCCTGCTGGGTATCACATGACCAAGAACATCAAAAACCCGTCATCTTGTTCTTTGAGTTCTAAAAGTCTGCCAGGATGTTTGATTTTATAGCTCGATAGCTGAGGAAAGATGTATCATGACCAGTAAGTAGTTTGCCCCTAGAATGGTGTTTTAGGGTCCTCCCTTGGATTACGGCCTGCTCACTAGTGAGCCCCCCTCACCTTTGCCCCCGCTCGACTCAGATGCACTAGTATTGCAGAGGACTCGTGGATCTCAGAGCCGTCGTAGACCCCACAGCCAGACAGTACCACTGCCACACGCTTCACCATGGTTTCTATGGAGATGCCAGACACACATTCACATGCTCCTTTCATATTAACTGAACAAATCAGGCAGCTTACATGCATTGGTGCTAGAACAAGATGTGCAAAAAAGCTCAGCTGTCAGTCTTTAAAAAGATATAGTATGTTCTATTAAAGTTGCATTCACCTCACCTGTCACCTGTATGAATGTAAATGTATCCAGTGTTTGGTGAACCTCGCTATAACATACAATACTGTGGTGGGGCCGTTTACATGAGGTCTCTAGTGGGCTGTATCGGGGCAACGTTAATTCAGCTGCAGCTGTATCCATGGTAGCAAAATAAATAAATGTGAGTCGCCCCCAGCAGGGCCCTATGGGCATCTGCACGGCAAATAGTCCCATTTCTGCAAGTCATTCAGCTGCATACAGCATACAGGAAGATGTTGGAAAAAAACTCAGAAACTGCAATGCTTTAGCTTCTGTAACAGCTCTTACGCAAGATGACGGCTATCCAACTACCCCATCTTTTAGAAAGTTTAAACAACCATTTTCTACATTCTTTATGTTACCGGTACTGTCTTTGCATCTTCTCTTTTGCATTACATATATATAATCGTCTGTGCTGTAAGTTCTGCTGTTGGATGCAAAAAAAATTTTCCTCTGGCGTCAGTAAAGTTCATTCTAATTCTAACTTTAATTCTGTGGGTTGGAAAACAATATCCACACACATAGGAAATATGGAAGCGGAACATAACATATTTCAGTACAAAATTTCAGTGGGAAATTTTCTCACCTGGTTCAAGAGCTGAGTGCGTTGACCGTATGAGAGCTTGGTCTCACCCGAAGGCTTTTCCTGTCAGAGTGACCGGTCTTTCAGGGCTGACTGACTTTATATGACTGCTCCTGGCCACACCTATGAAGGCGGGGTAGAGCTCACCCTGAGACTGTGAAATGATGTCATATCATCCTGTTTGCAAAAAGGGGACTTGTTAAAAGAGAAGGAAGTGGGTGACGGAACAATAAACCACTGCTAGGAAAAAAAAATGCTTAGTCATTCACAGAACCTCTCCATACATGGAGTAAGTAACCCGGACACTTTAATATGTTGACTAATATTGTGAGTCAACATAATATGTTCAATGTTAAAGGGGGCAAAAATATTCTATGTTCTGCGTATCATTCGGTTGGTAATTTCAGGATCTTTGCTTTCTAATCAGAACCTTCCTACCCTAACACTCCTAACTTCTGTACCACAACCAGTAGGATATAACTGGTGTCTTGGCATCACCTCATGCTTGTTTCTGAAATATTTATTGTGAAACACTATAATATCATTCTTTAACAAGATTATTGCATATAAAAGCTTTTCTGTAGAACAGACATAAAGACATACAGGATAACAATGACATCGTGAACAAACAGGTAATCTGAAATATACAGGTAATATAATGAGAAGAAAACAAAAACATAAAACCAAACAAACTAACATCAATCCCATTTCATCCAGCCCCCCCCCCCCCATTTGCAGCTACCTTCTGGATTCACAAAACACTTTCACAAGTAAAATTTCTTTACATAACACCAGATGATAGTTGCTGCTCAATGATGCTAATTACATATCAGCATCTATTGTCTTTTGTTGTCCCAAGTAGTCAGTCTGTTCCAATTTATTTCATTTAGGAAAAAAAAACTCTTTATAAATGTGCGTGCTTGCGTGTGTGTGTGAGAGAGGGCGAGTGTTGGCGTGAGACGTGGTTGTGGGTTGCTAGGCAGGGACATTGTGGATGTTCTCTAGCGTCTCCCCAAAAGGGCATTTGATTGACACGTCACATGCCATGCTGGCATGTCAGAACACTTTTATTTGTGTAATTTTTATATTATCAATACTGAATGTAACCAAACAAATATTATATTAATGCCAATATGCCCAAACCAAGGCCATAAATTTGGCGCCAAAATTGGTCTAAATCACCCCAGAACCCCTGACCGCTAAATACTTGTATGTCCCTACTGTCCATACCAAAATCTGCACCCTTGCCTGTGCTGTATAAAATACACAAAAATCCGGGCCTTTAATGAATACATTCATAAAAAAAATGTGAATGTGGTCTACTTTTGTGTACAGTTATCCATAATAAACTGAAATATTTCACTGAGACAATTTTTTTTAAATAATAATAATATAATTAAAAATAATAAAAAGTGAAGTCTAGATGTGCAAGAAGTCTGCAATATACTGTAAACTTCCTTCGGATTAAGGTCAGGTTAAAATTAGTTCTTCAAGTGAAAACCTGGTATGTCTTTTCCGACCGCAATGTGTGGGTGCGGATCCGCGTCTGTCTGTGTGTGTGTGTGTGTGTGTGTGTGTTTGAAGGCGTGGTTAGGAGCAGGGAGGGGACAAAGCGAGGGGAAGCGAGTGAGAGAGAGTGTTAAAGACTCCGACAGTTCCCTGGACAACAGCACCTTTATACGCCTCCATTCGCGATGGCTGTGTCGCAGGTGGAAATCGAGTCACTGTACGTTTCCATTGGTATTTTGGGAATGTCTGGAGGTATGGATGTCTCTTTTTGCTAGAAAATTTAAACAACATGTATAGAGACGATACATGTTGATTATTTATTATAATATACAGCAGTAAAAAGCACATCTAGTACAAATTATTAGGTAACGCTTTTTCGTTAACTGCACCTTCATAATGCCTTTATAATGCATTCGTAGATCATTCAGTGCACCTTCATAATGCATTCTTAATACATTCATAAGCAGCAGGTAAGTATACCTTAACATCCTAACATACCTCAACAGATTAAATATACATCAATAACAGACATCATATGATAATAACAAGCATTATAATCTGATAATCGTATAATGTTTGTTATTAATGTATATTAAAGCTGTTAAGGTGTGTTAGGATGTTAAGGTATACTTACCGCTTATTAATGTTCTATGAATGTATTATGAAGGTGCAATTGATGTAAAGCATTACCAATAATAATAATTAGAATAATAATTATTGTTATTGGTATTATTATTATTATTATTATTATTGTTGTTGTTGTTGTTGTTAGTAGTAGTAGTATTCCAAGTGCTACAATAAATCAGATCATCTTAATCAAACTTATTGGCTGAGCATGTTCATTTTCTTTTCTGTTTTCTCTTTATACCGTATTGTTATGCTATCTGAAATAGAATCATATCATATAAAGACATGGCTGTAATCGTTTCTCATATAGCGTATTTAATGCCTTGAAATTTTCAGCGTATAAGAAGTTTAATAAAGTTGTATTAAATGACTGCTTTAAGTATTTCCCGATAAGAAGTCTTTGTGCTTACCTGCTGATTTACCTGCGCTACAGACGTGCGCTCTCGGTTCGCTCAGCGTTTGTCCATAACGCACAAATCGAGACTTGCTTTGATTTTCCACCGAGGTTCCTTGCTGCTTTTGGTGAATGACTATACTGGCGCCGCCCAAACGAACCCAGTTCCCAGCACCGCACTGGGAGTGCTCCTTCTATTTACCGCCGCTTTGCTGGCATACACAGGTAAACACTCCACATAGTGCCGAATCAGCTGTGGCCAAGTCCGAAAGCAGTGGATAAAACATTTCTCTGTTATTATATCACTGATAATTGTTATTTTTGTTGTCACTCTTTTATGATTTAATTTTAACGTAGTTTTAGGCCATGTTTATTAAATGTCTGATACACTATCGATATAGGAAGAAGAATTTCTCATTGTCTGCAATCGTAATTGTTTACAATTTTTCTTTTGTCGACAGGAGTACGGCACAGTCTCTCCCAGACACCTCTGTATGTCTGTCTATCTCTGACAATTTCTGCCTTCTGGTGGGGTTTAGGCATAGTAAACATCCTGGTTGGGGAGGGGCTGACAGACAGCAGGACCTCCATGGTGCCAGGACTGGCTGCTTTCACACTGGCACTGCTGGTCATAGGTGTGGTGGGGGTTCTCCAGAAGGAGGTGGTCCTCTCCGTCTTCGCCTTTGCCATCAGCCTGGCCTGCGCTCACCAGATCGCCGGCCTGTGCGACATTGCTTTCGGCCAGGGCGCCACTGCGGCGAACTACCTGCTCGTCACCTTCTTGGGGGCCTATTTCGGGAGCGGCCGGCTGCTCTCCTACATCACAAGTGGTAAGGTGCAGCTACCTGGGACAGCGGTGGAGAAGAGGAAGAGTGCGGTGGGAGCAGCGCAGGCCCAGATGCTGAATGACGTGGCCCCCGTGGGGCTGATCATGAACCTGTTGTCGGCCAGCGTGCTGGCATGCCGCCTCCTGGGGGTGGTGCTGGAGCTCCCAGCTGGCCTCGTGCCCTGGCTGTGGACAGCAGGTGTCTTCCAGCTGGGTGTTTGCATCCTGTCCTACCGCGCCATGGACACTCTGACTGCCACCTTCTACGGCTTTACATCCATACTGAGGTTCGCCGAAGGGTACAACCTGCTGCTCGGACTCTACGGCTACGAGCCATATTCGCCGGTGCCCTTCCCTGTCATCTTCGCCGTGCTGTTCTCGGTGCTGGCCGTGTTCAGCTTGCAGAAGAGCGTGGCGGACGGCCTGTACCAGCTCTTGTTCGCTGCGTACTGCATCGCCATTTCCGCCCAGCCACGTGGCTTCTTCCAGGGCGGCACGCAAGGGGTGCAGGCGGCCATCTTTGTGGCGTCTGCTGTGATGCTGCTGGTCACCTTGCACAACATGGTTTCTCCGCGAAAGGTGCCGACGGGGGATGGCATGCTGAAAACCTTGCTCACGCGCACCAGCTGGCTGGTTCTGCGATCCAGCGATGAGGACCTGCACGCCCCCTACCTGGGCTTCTCCAAGTATGCTGATGCGGACATTTTGGGCCATGCCTGCAGCACCTTGGCGACTTTTGCCGTCACGGCCGCTGTGCGCGCTGAAGGTCCCCTGGCCGTGCTGATCCTGCCTTGGGCTGTGGTCCCAGGTGGTATTCTTCAGTTGCTGTGTGGTGCAGTGGCCTTCTCCCGTGGGAAGACGCTTGAAAGCACCGCCTTCATCCTGTATGGCGTGATGTGGACGGTGTGGGGCCTGACGCGATACGGCGGGCTCTACGGTAACACCCGAAGCTTCAACTTAGCAGTGGGAATCATCTGCTTCATGCTTTTCAACTGCTTTGTGACTGCCGGAGCTCTTTTCCTCAACAAGGCCTGGGTCGTGAGTTCGCTTGTCTTCCAGCTCATTCTCATCAGCTTCCTGTTGGACGCGGTGGGCGCACTGCCCTACGGCTACGACATCGGTGTCACCATCGTCTTCGGGCTGGTGAGCTTTTACTGCTTCCTGGCTTGCCTCTTCAACAGCAGCTTCCAGAAGCCACAGTTGCCCCTCGGTGATCCCTTTATCAAGCTGCGTGGCTTTGGTGGGGGCAGAGATAGCTGTCCCCATGTACCTGCCCGGAAGGCTACATCCATCCAGCAGATTGCAGGTGAGAAGGACTGTAGCCAGCATTGACTGTATAGCTCAGAAGGGAAGACACTGTCTTACGGAACTGAGATCATGCTGTGACTCTGCTTTCAGATATCATGAACAATGGTGGCATCTGTGGCATGCCTACTGATACTGTCTACGTGCTCGTGGCAGCTTGCAACCGGCCTGATGCAGTACTAAAAGCATACAAGTAGGTCTCTCACCTAGTCATGAATAGATTTGAATCAGTTATGTTTGCTCGAGCAGTAAAGACTTTTGGATGAAGGCATCACGTTGTGTAATGTGCCTTGCAGGACCAAGGTACAAGCCGAGGACAGGCCCATGTCTTTGTGGATCTCCAACATAAAGCAGCTAACACCAGCCAAACATCTGATCAGCCCAGTGCTCTGGGACTTCATGGAGGCTGCCTGGCCTTCTTCGATTAGCATGGTCATCCCTAGAGGTGAGGGTCATCATGAAGTACTGTATGAGATGCAGGGGGAAGATAGAGTTGATCCACTCGTGTCGCCAAGGTAGGGAAGCAGGAATGTGTGCTGGGCAGTATTTTCAATGATTCTGAATTTCCGTCTCCCCCAGGTCCCTGGATGGATCATTTTGGTTTGGGAGATTCGGCAAAATACATTGGCACCCCACAAAGCATAGCTCTCCGAAACCCTGACTGCACCGTGGCCACACACCTCATGGACTTGGTATGTCTCTTCCATGTTTAATGTTCCCTGTTTTTGTTCCTTGTGGGTTGCTACATATAAATTTCAATGCATTGATGCTCACTTATTTGATTTTAGGTGGGACCTATTGCTGTAACATCAGCCAACCCTACAGGAGAAGCTGACACAACACATCACAACCAGGTTTACGCAAAGCTAGGGGACAAGGTGAAGGCTCGATCTGCCTGGAGTTTTAAATGCGTTTAACGAGACCCGATTCTACAGCTGTCATTTTACTGTCATCGCATTTCATTTTGGCCAATACATTTCTAGGTCAATGGAGTGCTCTGCGATGGTCCTTCCCCAGAGAACATTGCTTCCACGGTCGTAGACTGCACCAAGATCGAGAATGGACAAATAGGTTTCTTCAGAGTGGGCGTTATGCCCAAGTCAAAGGTGCCAAGCAGTATATTAAGATACAACCTGTTGTATTATGTGTAGTAAGATTAAGATTAGTGTTATTGATTCCAGGGGGAAATTCTGGTGCATACAGCAGCAAGAACATAGTGCATAGAACATACATATAGTGCCAAACGGACAAGTCTCAAAGACAGCACACATAGTGCAAGTAAAATAAACAGAGTGCAAACAAATTGAAAGAGTACATAGTACACAAATAAATGAAATATTCTGGAAAAACAGAGTGTGTCATTAGAAATTAATCTTTCGAGATAAGATAAGGTGAAATATGATCAGATACACTGCCCGTCCAAAAGAAAAGTCGCCATATGAATTTATATCAGCGAATACTTAAAAGCCAATGACTAGATCATTATTACAGTCCTGCAACATTATGCAGCAATAAAGTAAAGTCAGCAGAGTACCTGAATCTACAGAATGGCCAGGTTACACACACCTCCATCCATCATAAATGGATTTTTTCTTCCCTGTTGGCATGGGCATATTCCAGGACAAGAATGCCAAGATTCAATGGGTTCAAATTGTCAAAGAGTGGTTCAGGGAGCATGAGGAATCATTTTCACGCATGACTTGGTCACCACAGAGTTGTGACCTTAACCTCATTGAAGGTCTCTGGGATGTGCTGGAGGAGGCTTAACGGAGTGGTTCAACTCACTTGTCAATACAGGATCTCGGTGAGAAATGAATGCAAATCTGGATGAAAATAAAGGATGAGATGTTGCATAAGCTTGTGGAAACAATGCCATGACAAATATGCGCCATAATCAAAGCTAAAGGCGGCCCAACCAAAAATTCAAATGGCGACATTTTTTTTGGACGTGCAGTGTACAGTATATGTCTTGTTGTATACCCAGAACCCTCATCATCTCTCTCTATTCATGCACAGGTGCTGCAGATCTTTGAGGAGGTTCAGAGGAAACACAAACTGGGTCAGTTCAACCCCAGCTTTGAAGCCGACGCCACTGAACCAAAGGAGGAGAAGGATGAGGCAGATACAGCTCAGGATAAGGAAGCAGCCACACCAACAAACCAATGAAGCCAACAGCCAGACTGAGCTGATCTCCATCAATGAGGAGGAAGATTCCTTATAGCTCAGGCCCCTAACTGCCAAAGTTGTCAAAAGCACTTTAATTACAGGAAAGTTTATGCTCAGCAGTAGATATATTTGGAATCACCCTGTCAATTCAATTACCCAGTTTCGTATTTGTGCTGTAATCATTTTTGGAATATATGATATACTTTAGACAGTTCATAGCAAATTTATATGTTGTATGATACCTTAAAGTATTTATAGATATAAAATATTTATTAAGCAATGAATTTGTAGTTATACTTCGTACCAAAGCTATTATATTTTTATGAAATACCATAAGGCTGCAATACACTAGACTCACTAGACCACAGACAGGTGTCACTGCTAGTGGAATATTTAAATGTTGCATCTATTTAAATTTATGGGTAAAAATAACCCTTTACAGGATAAGATGTTGGATGGTAAACAGTGAATGGATGGATGGATGGATGGATGGATGGATGAAGTAAAACAGTTTTACCACCTTCCATCTTCAGTATGCCATTATCTGTTTTTGTTGACATTTGTTGTGGGGCCATGCAGCATTGTACCATTGGTCAGACAAAATTTAATCACAGCTGATAGCCTGAAAAATACAGTATATCAATGTATTTTGACACATGGTATACATTCCAAATGTGGAACAGCCCAGCATTAACCAGACCCAGTGGTGAACAGTGATTTTAAAGATTTCCAGGAACACTTAGATGGTACTCATGTGAGAGCAATGCAGAGGTATGTGATACTATAGTACAGACAGTGTAATGATTGTACAGAAGCCTTGATTAGAGGGTGAGGGCTATTGATGCAGGTAGCATGAGGGTTCAAGTCTCCAAACAGGTTGCCCTCAATGGAGAATCAACATAATCATTATTTTTGTGCAATTTCAAGGAGACCAAAAAAGCTATTGATTAATGACTATTAATGCTTTTGGGTAACGTCTTGTGGGGATGAATTTAACAATGACACACTGCACTCCAATAATTAAAGTTCTGAATGGCTTTGGGGAATACTTGTTGTGGCCTCTGTGCTTTCAATATCTCCATCCTAAAATGGAGCAAACAGAATGATATGTACCAGTTCACATGCGGGAATAAAAAACAGTGTATATCGATATGTATATATATTGATATATACATTGATATATAGCACTATTTTGGTATGTGGTGTCTCTCCGGCCTGCTCGCCCTTCTGCCTGTGACGTCTGAACGCCCTGCTGCTGTACCGCTGTTCGTCCTGCCATCAGAAGCAGCACCAGCACCTGCCTGCCCCCCTGCTTTGAAACTGAAATCTTGAAATTTAGCAAGTGTGAATTGGGACTTTTGCCATCTTATTCATTGGACTTTGACTGCCTCTGCTGGCCCCTGGATGATGGGCTTCCCCTTTGAGTCTGGTTCCTCCGAAGGTTTCTTCCTTCTTTGAGCTTTTCCTTGCCACTGTCACCTCTGGCTTGCTCACTGGGGGCTTTGCGGCGGCATAATGTAAAGCACTTTGAGACAGTGTAATGTTGCGAAATAGGGCTATACAAATGAAATTGAATTGAATTGAATTAAACCAGCAAAACAAATTCAAAACATTTCTCAATTGTATTTTCTGAAGACAACTCAGCAGGCTACAAAACCAAGTCACAAGTATTACTGCGGAACAATTACATAACGCACGTAAGGGACCTTTCTAAGGAATATTATGTATTAGTTTTATGTCCTCATATATTCTCAGAGGAGTACAATTACCATATTATATGTGTCAAAGACCTTTTGCAGGAATATCATGTTTTCTTGTAGATTTTTAGATGAGATCCATGCCCATTGCATAACACTTAAGAGACATTTCTTACAAGTATTCTGTTTCATTATAGATAATGAGAGAAGAAACTTTGTTACAAATACTAATGTCACTACCAGTAGCAGTTTTATAAATAGTCGCACTGGTACAATTTTACGTGCATGATCCAAACTGTCCATCTTCAGGGTAAAAAATAATAATAAAAAAATATTAATAGTTGCAACCACATGAAATTATCCAACATATTAAATGCAATAGTGTATTTAATTTCCATGAAGTACAGGAGTATTTTTACCCATTGTGAATGCACAATGGCTCAGTGGCATCACACCTGCAGGGTTCCTGGTTGAGTTCCTGTTTGCTCATGTGGGTTTCCTCTGGATACTCTGGTTTCCTCCCACAGATTGACGGCATTTAAATTTCTGACTGAGCCCCAAGTGTTACAGCACATCATGTAATAATTAATACACATTGAGTAATAACTTGACAAAATGTAACAAATTTTCATCACATAATGCGATGTTATTACATGTGTTGTCACACACCATGTAACAATTCATTATATAATAACACTGCATTATGTAATAACTTGACAAAATGTTCCAAATATATAGACTACGTTATAATTTTATATTGACAATTTAATATTACCCTATTATAATAATTATCATTATTATCTCATCACCATTATCATCGTTGTTAGTATGATCATTCAATTTGTTCAATTCTGTCGAGTTATTACATAACGCAGCATTATTATAACATGATGCATTGTTTGTGTCTGTGTCTGGGTGTCTTGTTATGGTATGGAATCTCATCTAGGGTTTCCCCTAATGCCCTCTGCTTCCGGGAATAGGTTTTAGTAACTAGTAACTGAGATAATGAATGAATAAACGTAAACAGACTAATAGAATTTTAACAGGCAACGGAACCATTGTCTGAGTATTATAAATCCGTAGCAAGCTACCAGGAATGCAGGAAATCTTTTCTGAATTGATCCAAAGAATCGAATTTGCATTTTAATTGTAATCTAATTTTCACTTTGACAACAATTCAGTGCCTTTATAGTACAGTATGCTTTTCAGGTCTTGTGTGGTAATGGGATATTTTTATACTGGCTATACCTACACCGGTCACATTACCGGAATGAACAGCCCATTTTTTGTCATACAATGTACAGTAGTGTTATCGGAATTGGTAAAGCAAGATTACCCTCCTTTCTGATTTTAGCTCTGGATATCCCCCTAATGATGTTGGTTTAGATATTACATTTCATAACATGGGTGTTACCTAAGACTGAATGTTATTTCTAGATTCTTCCTTATGCCAGGTGGGAATTTGACGTCTAATTTGTTATAGCTAGATAGCTATTTATAATGGTCCCTTCCCTCTAAATAGGTTTACTGAATGTTCATTGAAATTATGTACAGTCCTAAAGAGAATCACAAAATAAGGCAAGTATATGAGAACACATTATGTATTACTGACGTTCTTGGCAAATGAACTGAATTCTTGTACTGAATTCATGTTTTCTAATAATATGTCAATATCTTTCTATGTTTGATATTATATAGTTAGCAAAATACAACAGGTTATAATCTATCTCTCCTGTGTGTGGGTCAGGTACAAGGCAAGGGAACATCCTGGATTGGATTTGAATGCATTTCAGGGCACCTGTAGAATAAAAGAATCTTTATTGATCGCAGGGTGAAATTTTATGCATACAGCAGCAAAATATATAAAGTTCAAACAAACAAACATCTGGCACAAAACAAGACACTTAGTGCAAACAATTTTTAAAAATATACACAGTATATAAACACACAAAACATTACGTACTATGGCCAATATAGAAACACTAAGTCACCGAAATCCATGTCCATGCAGGGAGATAAACAAAGTAACGTGGAAAAATGTGAAGCAGGGAGACCTTCAAAGAGAAAGAAAAGCAGGGATTCAAACCTCCAGTCTCACAGAAATTTGGTGACTATGTTAGCCACTGAGCCAACATGCTGCCCTGCAGTAGGTAATGAAGACTAGTAAATAAAACAATGCTTATTTTATCAGTCTCTATGTGGGTCTTAAAATGAAAACAAAGCAAATGTATTTTCTGTTTTATTATTTCATTCAAGTTGCAAGTAACTCCTTTGAAGGAGTTATTGTAAAACATGTAAAATACATGAAAAATTTACATCCTCAGTCATTAATCATTTGTTCTTTAACTGACTTTATGAGGAGGACACTATAACCCTAAATAATATGTAAGTTCTTGAATTTTTATTAAAAATGCCACTGTAATGCACTTGAGGACAACAGGATTTAAGCAGTTGACTGAAACCAGCAAAATATAACTAGCAATCCCCAAAAATGAATGAACTTTATTTAGTCTGAAGATATTTCAGTGGGAGAGGACGCAAACACCGTCATTGGACAATACTCAGCTTTTTTAGGAGTACAGAGTTTATTTATCCATCCAACAATTTCTATACCTGCTTGTCCTATTCAGAGATTTTGCAGAGACAACCCTAAGCACAATATCTGTGACTCCAGTTATTTTCTGTTAGTTACAAACAAACAAACAGATAGATAGATAGATAGATAGATAGATAGATAGATACTGTAGATAGATAGATAGATAGATTAATTGTAATAATTCCAAAAGCTACTTTTTCTAGCACTATAAAAACTTTTACTGATTATTTTTCATTCTACTTTGTTGAAAGGGAATATTGTGAGAAATGATTTATTATGAAAGGAACTCAACTGAGCTCAGACCCCCAGCTTTACCTCTATATGAGTATTAATATCTTTATGAAGGAGAGCTAGATGAGACATACAACAAAGAAACACATTTTAATGTACCTGTCTGTGTATTTGTACAAGTGACAGATAGAACTCACTTCATTTTCTTACACATCACATTACTGGAATGTTTTTTAGGCATTAATTAATTGTCATTGTTGACACACCACAGCAAACAACAACAAAATGTGTTCTCTGCATTTAACCCATATATGACATAACAGGGGGCAGCTAATTCAGCGCCCGGGGAGCAGTGCTTGGGGGCGGTACCTTGGGGGATTCAATCCTGCAATCTTTCTATTACAAGTGTGCTTCCCTAACCATGAAACCACCACTGCCAACAGCAATGCCAATATTTTTTAAATTCATAATCACACTACTTTTTACAAAATCATAATACACACCAACCCTAAAAGGTAAACAGGACATGTACAGACATCCTGGAGACATCTTTGCTGGGGGTGGGGGGATTAAGTTTATATTACCAAAGACCAGGAGTTAATGTTGGGATTAGAGTTTTCACCATAGAAAAGAATGGAGAGTCTCCACAAAGATATAATTACACACCTGCATGTGTGTGTGTGTTTGACAATTTCAATGCCATCATTGCCATGGTTTGTTAGTAGTAATCCTTTTAAATACAGCAATAATGGCTTTGCATTTCATTTGGCAGACCATGTTATTGGCAAGCTTTGTGTTATCGGGCCACATTTGTCTTTTAATTATATGGTACGGTGACTAGTGTATTTCCCAGAAGTGTTTTCTTTGCTGCCTTCCCGTTACAGGTAAGCATTATTAAGCCTGTGCGACCTTCTTATCATCTTTTGGTCACAGCCTCCAGTAAATTTGCACAGAAGGATAACATCCAACAATCATTTAACCACATATCTTAATCGGGGTCACCTAAAGCCTTTGCCCAAGGCAGGATTACAGCCTGGATAAGATACCAGTCCATCACCGGGGGTCACACTTACACCTTGTAATAGGGTAATTATGTTAGGAATAATTTAAATTTATCTAAGAATGTTATTTCATAGCACATCCTGTAACAGAAAATTTTTTAATTGTATTCTAATTTATTTGTAGAATGATAATAAAACTAAAACTAATTTAAGGTCATTTCTGATCCTTGCGATCAGCGCAATCCTAAGTTAGCATAATGTAATTTTGTTGCTATGGTAACGCCAAAAGGGAACTCAATGAACTTCCCTCTGCTGGCATGGTGAGGCAGCTGGGTCAGGGGTTTTATGCAGAGTCTGGGCGCGTGCGGCACGTTGGGTGAACCCCACTGTCAGCAGGAACGATGCTCTGCTGAAATCCACACTGGAAATAGCTAAAGCTGTCTAATACTGAAGGAACAAGGATGAAGTCGGAGTTAAGGAATCTCCAGTGTGTCTTAGGCAGTGCTGCCATCCATCCATTT